AAGCCAACAGAACCTGCTAAAATATACAAATCACTAATATATGTACCACGACTATCAGAACGCCTCACAAACTCAGACTGTTATAACAAACAAGATATAAAAGTAGCACACAAACCGACGAATACATTACAAAAATTCTTCAACAAGATAAAGTCGAAAATCCCGATGATCGAAAAAAGCAACGTCGTTTACCAAATACCATGTGGCGGGGATAACAACAACAAGTGCAATAGTGTCTACATAGGTACAACAAAATCGAAGCTAAAAACAAGGATTAGTCAACATAAATCGGACTTCAAACTAAGACATCAAAATAATATACAGAAAACAGCACTTATGACCCATTGTATAAGAAGCAACCACACACCAAATTTTGATGAAACAACAATCTTACAACAAGAACAACACTATAACAAGCGACACACATTGGAAATGCTACACATAATTAACACACCAACCTACAAACGACTAAACTACAAGACAGACACAGAAAATTGCGCTCACTTGTACAGACACCTCTTAAACAGTCAAACAACCTCAGTAACAATCTCCACGTCAAAAAGCGCAGACGTGTAAAATAATGTATGTAAAATGTTCGAAATAATGTTTAATTTATTGTATTATAATTGTTAATTGTTTTTTGTATCTTGGTGTTAGTGCCCTGAAGACGGTTTGCCGATGTGCAACCGAAATATATCGGAAGAGAATTGAATAAAATTGTTTTTCATTGTTTGTTTTAACAAACACGGACCTCGAGCCAGCCAACAAATAAATATAAATAATATATATATAAATAATAAATATTTCAATAAAACAATACGTATCTTTTCATTTACATTTTTTCATGTTGTTAAGTAAATGAATAACTGTTTCCACGATAGGTTTTGAACTCGTAATATACCGCGCTTCTTGCAACCTCCTCAACTAATCAACCTCACCAATAATTGAGTCGTTATGAGAAAAAAACGGATTAAAATAGCAGCACAGAAAACAATATAGTCGAAATTAACATCCTTTTGATAAAATTCAAGACGCGGATGAGTGTGTGTGTGCAATTGTCCCTCACTGCCCCAAATACGAGAAAACACGTTTTCCTTGTGTAACTTAACCGATCTTGATGCAATTTTCAAGTGTTTATTGTGCTAATGAATATTCGCATGTTCATAAAAAGACAATTGCGTTAAAATCGTAGTTTAAGTTGGTGGGGAGTTCAAATGTATTGTGGCTTATAAGCATTTTTAATTAGTTCCGGGTATATGGGTATACAAAAAAAGATCCCTCAATGGAATTCGAACACGCTAGAGGTCATGCTTCCTGCTACCAGCCCTATTTAACAGCCACACCAGGAATTGAGTCTTAATGTGAAAGATACGGGCTTAAGTAGCAACACAGAATATACAATCGCAATTTCAAACATGTTGATAGAATTCAAAGAAGACGCAAATGAATGTGTGTGTCTACATGTATAAAAATTCTTGCAACTCACGCTAGCTGCTACAAACACGAGGCTAGCCAAAGCACATATTTTTTGTGTTTCTTAACCGTTCTGATAATAAACTTTTTCATATCTATAACCTACTACATTCTTTTCAACCGATCTTTTCTATGGTAGCTACAGTATGTCAACAAATTGTTTTCACATTAGAAAAAAAATGATTTTTCGACTTTCTTAGGAAAAATAAAGTATTTACTAATAGAATTCATAAAAATAGTAATAGAAAGTAGAATGATGTGTGAGAAATATTTCAAAAACCAAAAATAGTTGGTTTTGCCGCTGTCAAACAATTGCTTACACAAAAATATTCTGCATTCCTCTGTGCGCTTATGCAGTGAATAACGGTAAATTTACAGTAACTTTGGCCTTCCACATGCTCTGTTCTACGAATTTGGCTTGTTATGAACTGAAAATTTTCGTTTGTTGCGCGTCAGAAATTATTTAGACACTTTAAAATGCCAGGCAAGAGATTATCGTTTGAGGTGGTCCAGTTAGTCTATTTTAATCACCAATTGGGTAAAAGTGCGCAGGAATTGTCAGAAATGTTTTCTGTAACCCGCAAGACCATTTATAATATTATAAATCGCGCTGAAAACGAGGGAAGATTGGAGCCAAAGAAAGCATCCGGTCGGAAGCAAAAAATAAATAAACGAGCGGAGCGCGTATTGGTAAGAAAACTGGACCAAAATCCGATGATTTCGACGAGAACTCTTGCAAGAGATCTTAAGGAAGAGTTGGATCTGGATGTATCCCACGAAACTGTACGTCAGGCAATACTACGACTTGAGTACAAATCAAGAGCTGCTCGCAAGAAATCAATGCTTTCTGATGTTAATGTTGGAAAGCGCTTGTCCAACAAGGGTGTGGCGTAAGCTCTTAACATCTTTAGAAAACCGAAACATCATTCCGACAGTCAAATTTGGCAAACTGTCCATAATGATTTGGGGGTGCATCTCAAGCCAAGGAGATTTGGCTTTTATTGAAAACACGATGGACGCACAACAATATTTAAGCATTTTAAAGAACCAGTTGAAAAGCAGGGCAAATAAATTTGGGTTTATAAACAATAATATGCCGAATTTTTAATTTTATTAGGACAACGACCCAAAGCACAAGGCGCATATGATACGCTTGTGGTTACTTTATAACTGCGGTAAAACCTTCGATACACCTGCGCAAAGTCCTGATCTCAATCCCATTGAAAATGTCTGGGCTTTGTTAAAGAAAAGAGTGGCTAAAAGGCATCCAAAGAACCGAACAGCACTGAAAACTGCTATAATAGAAGAGTGGCAGCAGTTGCCGAGCCATTATGATTTTAAAAAGCTTATTCATTCAATGAAAAAGCGCCTAAACGAAGTCATTAATACCAATGGTGGCCATACAAAATTATATATATAAGAAAAAGATGATTTTTCAGTGCCTTAAATTAATCTAATTATTACTTATGCCAAATGTGTAAACAATTGTTTGACAATGAAAAAACCGACTATTTTTTGTTTTTGTATTATTTCTTACATATCATTCTTCTTAAATACTATTTTTATGAATTCTATTAGTAAATACTATAAGTAACTATAATAAATTAAAAAAAAAATATTTACAATATTTGAAAGTATTTATTTTTGCTAAAAAAGTCGAAAAATCATTTTTTTTTTCTAATGTGAAAACAACTTCTTGACATACTGTATATGGCTTAGGCGATTGAGTAATATAGAGAAATGACTGAACTGACACTCTGAGCTTTTTTACTGTTTTAAAAACCACGAGACATAGATCGGTTTGGACCGCAAAAGCAAAATCAAACCCAAAAGAAAACTTCATTTACCATAGGAAGCAACAACAAATCACTTCCAAAACAACAGTGCGTACGATCAAAGGGTTACGCGCACGGGGCCCAACATCATATATTATGACATCATAATTTACAGAATTTTATTTCTTGTGATGTTTAGTATATATTTCTACCTTTATTACGTACATTGAAATAACTTATGAATGGGGTCTTTTATAATAATTTTTTGAATATGTAATAATTTTATATAAGAAATGATCGCACATAAAGAGCCTTGTACTGTGACGTCACATGCGCAACAGAGCGTTGCAATCTTCTTAAATTCATAGACTTCCCTTGGCTTGGCAGACACATACATATATGCAGATTTGCTAAACAACTATTTGGCGGGTCGCGGCATTGATACTCTTAATAAGAATGGTATATAATATATATATGTATATATATACAAAATTATATTTTTCATAGACATGGAATAAAAATGTATATATAAGAAGGTTTGTGCTATTTGGTACATAGTGAATAGTTAAAATATCCTATTTTGAAAATATGAAAAATGATAAAAATCTGCCGATCTGCTTGCAAGTTGAAAGCGAGTGAAGAAGTAGAACCCATGACTTTGCGAATTATAGGCATAGCACGGCTTAGAAACCACAACAATGAGTTAGAAGGGTGCAGAAGCTAAGATCATAGGCTGTAGCCTTAAACGAAAAGGAGTAGCATGGACAGAATTTGTTTGATTCGTTTGTTTTGATTATGGTTGTATTTGGTTCTTATGGAAAATGTTTTGAAGTTGTCATTGAATTGTGGGCATCAGCAGAAGTGTTTGAAATTTTTGTTTGCAACCTCTTTATCGCGCTGGAAGTATTTCTAAAAGGAGCTTTTGATTCAAACGCCTGCCGTTTCTCTTTATTACTCAATGGGCTTAGGCGTACGATCCGGCTGTCTGCAACATATGTACTGCCTGTAACAGATAGACGGACCAATAAAAAGCTTCAGTTAGCTTTAAACCTAAGTAATCTCTTAGAGACTACTTCACATAAAAACAGACAGGCTGACATTACTTTATCAACTCGGTTGCTGATATCGATCAAGAGTACATATACTGTATTTATAATATATATAAATATAGACGTGCATGAAGAAAATAAACTTTTTTAATTGGAGCAAAAGGTCCTATCTAAAAATAATCAGCAGGGTAATAATTAGTGATAAGCTGTAGGTTTGCGAAAATGTATATAACATGCAAAAAAAATATCATACCCTTATAGCATAATAATAAGCGATACAAGCGTGTCCGTTCAATCGAAAGCGTCGATTTAAAAAACTTATCTAGAGCAAAATTTTAGATGTTACTAATTTTTATTTCAAGTGATCAATAACTTGCCTGGTTTAGGTTATTTCCAATAATTTTACATATCTTATTTCCGCCCAATTAAAAAATGAATTTACGCGTGCTATCCTGAACTTGAACTTACATTTTACCTTTGGATTTCACCAAAGCCGAAAATACAACTTGCGTTCACACAATCTGAAACCACTTTTATTTCAAGAAACACGTGTAAAACTCGTTAAACCAAAATCGCTGAAAGAAGTTCTTACATACAACGTTGAAAACAGGTTTGAAATCGATCGGACGAAACTTAAAACTTCGTATTCTGAATCACATTCCTTATAAAACGAAATGAAGTATATAAAGTAAAAACTACTCACATTAACTGGATTGGAAATCCTTCCGGTGTTGACCATTTCGTTTTTTTCAAGGAGTCCAATAAAATACTTGATATTAATCGAAAATGCATTCTAAGATGAGTGTGGCAGCTAAATGGGGAGAAAAAAATGTTAAGTATTTTAAAGATTGATATGTGACAGAAAAGTAAAAATAACATTCTTTATTATTTTAAAATTATAAAAATGTATTGATAAATGAGGCCAAAGTCGATTTCATAGGGACATGTACCGGGTTTCCGGACCCGTAGTGTGTACAATTTATGTTCCATCTCAGTGGTGGCATTGCATCTAAGAACAGATGGAAATGAGTGCTGGTGATAAAGGCAATATTAACGCACATTGTGCAATTCACGATGGAAAGCCTTTAATGTACCCCAAAACAACATGCCCATACTATGGTCTGGCGAATTTGATCTATTGTTAAGTAAAGAGAGGGAGTAGGAGAGATCTCTTTAAATCAGCGAATAGGTCCAACCGAAATGACAGAAAAGGCAACAGCAAACAGCGCTTCCAACATCAAAAGGACTCCTCATACTTAGACACACCGATGATCACTCAAACGAGTTAAAACGGACAACATCGCATGAACAAAGACTCACAGCTCCATCGGATGTCTTCGTTTCAGACGCAGAGTGTGTGTGATACCACACGCAAGACGCAATACGCCGCCTATCAAGGGTCACCCCATGGTTAAGGTAAGGGACGCTATCAGTGTATACGATTCTACTTTTGTCCAACATCCGCCGGCGCGAACATCCGCCAGGCCGCAACGCAAAATTGGCGTTCTGGGTCTTGATATTGAGGAAGTCATTTTTAACATCTAAACACGCTTGAAGGCAGTCGTCGGGCTGCTGTTTGATGCCAAAACTTCTTGGGCTTTTAGGTAATCATCAATAAGGTTTATATTTAAAGGAACAAAACAAGGAAAATCATTAATTGGTAAACATTTGAAGGTCTCGAAATTTGCAATGGATATGGTCAAAAATAACTTGCCTGAAATCTTAGATACAGTAGAACAGACAAGGTATTATTTACGCTAATTAACAACTTCCAGTCTTAACAGAGGAAACTAAACGGTTTCTGACGGACTACAAGAATAAAAGGACGACTACAAGAATAAAAGGATAAATATATGAGGAGATTTACATACAAACCCAGCAACAGTAACACTACATAAGAAAAACAGTGAACATGATATATCCCCAGGGCGGTAACGTTGTGTAATGTTTTTAAAAAGAACGGAATTAACTGTACCCCTAGTCTTCAGTTAACTTGCAGTCGCGCAAGTTGTGTAAATACATATATGATATATGTAAACATAACTCCAAGCGCAAAACACATGTAAACAATTCGGTGGGTTTAAAAAATAAAATAATAAGCACAGCTATTTGTGATGACGCGAGGTAAGTGTCGTTTGAGTGTCATTGTTTCCAACTCACTGATAAAGCTATAGAAATAAAAAAAGCTGGCAAATGGTCAGAAATAACAGCCAGATAGATAATTGTTAAAAAGGCTCTAGTCGGGAGTTCCCAACTAGGGGATACCCCGCATCCATGCAACACCAAATGCAAAACGCGCCACCAGCGCGTGTGGTTTAGCAAAAATATAATGAAAAATAAAGAAAATACAAAATAAACAAGAGGTTTTAGTCAGGAATTCCCGATTAGGAAACATCCGGAAACGTCTTATTCCAACACCAAATAAATTTAACAAAAAGGTTCCCCGGTAGGGCTCGAACTCGCGACAGACCGCACCTCTTGCTATGCCTCTACTCAGCAGCCACACCAATAATTAAACACTTATGATAAAAAAGGAACTAAAGTAGCGTAACAGAAAATAGTCGCAATTATCATGCTGCTAGAATGCGAAGCATAGGCGCATGAATGTGTGTTTACATGTATACAGAAATTCTTAAAGCTGCTGCCCCATTCAATTGCGCAGTTGCATATAACTTTGGTTTTTTCTTAACCGATCTTTATGAAATTTTCTACAGTACATCTTATTGTATCATAGAATATTTGTGTATTTTAAAAAAGTCAATTGCAATTCAATTGTGGTTTAAATTGGTTGGCAGTAAAGTTTCATTACTTGATTTATAGCTCTGGCGTGGTAGCGGGGAGGTGGCGATAGGTATAAAATGAAAGATACTAGAGCCTTTTTAACATATATATAATAATCTAAAAGCAACATATCATGTTTGGTGGCTTATTATTTACCCAATTTGCTCAAAAAACAGGATGTCGATATGGATTGCCTGGAAACGGAGTAAGTTATCGATTATCGGAAACAAACTCGATCTGCGCAGGCACTAGGAGCACATACATCTAATATTTCAAGTCTCTAGCTCTTATAGGGTCTGAGATCATATACACGGACAGACGGACAGACAGACAGACAGACAGACAGACAGACAGACAGACAGACAGACAGACGGACACGGCTAGATCGACTAGGCTATTGGTGCTGATCAAGAATATATATACTTTATGGGGTCGGAGATGCTTCCTTCTGCTTGTTGCATACATTAAGAATTTACACAAATAAAAGTATATATATATATATAGTGAAATATCCATAGTCGCACCCACCCTTTAACATAAATTAGCACATAAGCATAAGCACAAGTATAAACATTTCTAATATTGTAAACAAAGAGCCTGGTGATAACATCGACATTGGTCAAGATCAAACTGTCCCCCTTTGGTAGACATAAACAATTCACCCTAAATATCACGCCACTGTCAATGTTCCCATCAGAGCACTATCCCACGCATAATTGCTGACGCAGCTCAAACTTCACTCAATTTTGACTCAAACTCTCTCAAAGCGAAGTTTGCTAAGCGACCGCAACAGTTAGATAAATCTGTTCATATTCGGGAAGCACATCTGAATGTACTCAACAAAAGTAGCCGTTTAGTGAAAATAATAAATTGAAATATATTTTTTTATAGTAACTTAACGTGTAAAACTTAATTGGCGCAGCCGGTCGGATACGTCGGGAAAAAGTAAAGATCGCTAAAGAATAATTAATTCCCAGATCTAATGCACAATCGCGACCGAAAGTGTTGTCGGAGTGTAATAAACATTTTCTCGAATACGTATCCGCACAAGAACCTTCGGGTCACTAGTAGCCTAATAACATTGACCGTTTGGGCAATAAAGCTACTACAGTTAATAACGACTGGCTTTGCATATCGTTTGATCCCTGCAATACGTTATTACTGGGTCTTTTTAAGACACACACAAAAAAAAAAAAAAAAAAAAATAAAAAACATTTAAACAATAATCCATCACAAACTATAATGTAAAAGAAACTGCAAAGAAGTAAAAGTGCATAATCAAAGAACAATAAAGTTCAAACCTACAAACTCAAAACTATTTAAAACAAAGAAAATCATCTAACGAAAAAAAAAGTGTATTACACCAAGATGACCATGGAATTATCAGAACAACACCTCAACCAGACCATTTCACAACTAAGACAAGTGCCAAGCTTTGCCGGATCAACGGATCATCTAAACGCCTTCATTAAAAGGATCGATTACATCCTACACCTTTATCCAACCAGAGATGTTAGACAACACAGTATCTTATACGGAGCCATCGAATGGCAAGTCACAGGAGATGCTCAGAGAATTTCAAAAAGGACAGCAGCCAACACTTGGCAGGAGCTGAGAAACGCATTGATTGAAGAATACAAAGTGCAGACACCATTTGAAGAACTCGTTCGACGATTATACAACACGAATTACCAAGGAAACGTCCGTAAGTTCATCGAGGATCTCGAAAATAAATCTTTTGTTGTATTAAATAAGTTAGCATTAGAAAATATACCTAGCAATATGACACTTTATACAAATGCTATGAATAACACAATCAAAGATGTTATTACAAAAAAATTACCAGATAGGCTTTTCATGATGTTAGCCAGATACGACATTACGTCGACACAAAAACTAAAGCAAGTAGCGTTACTGAAAAACCTAAAAATAATAATGTTCAGGGAAATCAAAATAACAATCGTAGGAACATGGGAAATTATCAGCAAAATGCTAACCCAACCACCAGTTCATGTGGTAATTCCAACACGAATCAGAGTTATCACGTACAAAATAGACAGTACAATAAGTCCGAAGACAATCAGAAAGCTCACCACAAGTTCCAACATAAATTAAGTCAAGGTAGATCCCAAAATCCTTTAAACTATCAAAATCAGTCCCATTCACGCTTGAATGCACCAAACCCTCCGACTAAACGTCAAAGAGATAGTAACAGTGGGCAGATGAAAATGGATACATCCGAAAATTTTCATCAACAAGCCTCGGAACAAACAGAAGAAATCCATTCATAAAATTGATTATGAATGACGAAGTTCTAAAATGTGTCATTGACACAGGTTCAACCATAAATCTAATGAAAACAAACAGCTTAAATTTTCCAGTTTACAACGAAACATTAAAGGCTCACACCATAAATGGTATTATTGAATTAAAACGAAGTATACGATTAGAAGCATGCAAAATTTGTCCGAGCAAACAAAAATTCTATATTCACGACTTCTCAGAGCATTATGATGTTCTGATTGGGAGAGAATACCTTGAAGCATGTCAAGCAAAAATAGACTATGCACAAGGATCCGTAACCTTAGTAGAATTTACCTTTTGTTTTAGATATAATGACAAAGAGGTCGAAGAGGACATGATCGCACAAGAGTGCCTTGATCCACCCTCAACAGAGGACAGACCATTTAACTTCGCTATTAATAACGAATTAATAGAAAACAATGAGTTTAGGCTAGAGCACCTTAACTCAGAAGAAAAAGAAAAAATTAAAAATGTTTTACATAAATTTCGTGAAATCCAGTACCATGAAGGTGACAATTTGACTTTCACTAGTACAATTAAACACAAAATTCTAACAAAACATGAAGACCCAATTTACAAGCGTCCATACAAATATACTCAAATATACGATGAGGAAGTAAATAAACAAATAAGCGATATGATAAAACAAAATAACATACGTAAATCCAAATCCCCTTACTGCTCACCAGTAATAATCGTTCCAAAGAAAAACGATGCATCTGGAAA